CGCGAGGGGCCGCCTCCCCCTCCATCCCCTCCTCGGTTGGACCCTCAGATCCTGCCTCCAGTCTCGGCTCCTGGCCCCATGGCTCCGGGTCTGGTCCCCACGAGACCCCCGCGGCCCGAGTCCAAGGCCCGCCCCCTCGGGGAGGCGGATGTGGGAGGCTCGGGCCGGGACGCAGCCTCGATCCCGGGGCGGGGTGTGGGGGGGCGGCCGCGGGGGGCGGCTGCCCTCGGGGTCTGGGAGCCATGCGGGGGATGGTCCGGGCCCTGCGGCCCCAGCAAGGGGCGAGCTGGCCGCCCGTCGGCTAGTTGGGCAATAGGAAACGGTTTATTAGGAGGGAGTGGTGGAGCCGGGCCAGGCAGGAAGACGCTGGAATAAGAAACATTTTTGCTCCAGCCCCTTTCCCAGTCCCGGGAGGCCGCCGCGCCATCCGCGCGGAGCGAGCCCCTCCCGGGTCCCAGCGCCGTCCCGGGCCGCACACGACCCGCGCCGCCGTCCAGCGCTCGCCGGGCTACCTCGGCCTCCGCCGGGGAGGGGACGTGCCCGGCCCGCTGCCTGCAGGGCGGGCCCAGAGGTGAGTCCAGGTCCGCGGGCCGCCTGACCCCCGCCCCTCAACCCTGCAGAGGCCCTTATTGGGGCAGATCCCAGACAGCGTCTCAAAGAGGTCGCCGTAGGGTCTATCCCGCTCCTCGCTGGGGCGAGCTGCCCCTCACCTTCCCCGCACATCTGCGCGTGACCCCATCTGAGACTGGAACAGACTGGGCTGGGAATCAGAAAACTTCTGGCTCCTGGGGCTAGTCACTTCACTTCTCTGTTCCCCTAGCCTCATCTGTAAATGGGCAGAAGGGATTCCCGCTCTTCTTCCCAGACAGGGGACCCCCGAGTCTGTCCAGGCAGCTGCCTTCACCTGGGAGGGAGTGTCCACTTCCTGAGCGTCCCCTGGAAGCCCACCTTTCCCGGACCAACCTCTACAGCTCTTGCTTAAGGCACCTGCCACTGTAATTCCCTCGAAGAAACCTCACCTCCAAACCCTACGCGGTCAGATAATCCCCATGCCATGGTCTTCCCTAGGCATCCAGGCCAGGGGCTTTCCCAATCTCCCTGCAGTCTGGCACCCCAGGCTGGCCCTGGAGGTCAGTACTGTTAAGAGCATCTCTGGCCTGGCCACCCACCCCCTTTTCTTCTTGAACGACAAGGGCATAGTGGACTCTAGCCCTTGGCCTCTCTATAGGAGGGGTTTCTCGTTGAGTCAGGCTCTGTCCTCTCTGATCCCTCTCTGCCCCATTTGCCCTGATCCCTCTCACCTCCCATCTCATGGGGTGGTAAAAATCGCTACCGTTTATGGAGTACCTACTATGTAGTCTTAGATGTGCACTGAGCTCCATTTCTCTCATGTCATCCTGGCCACAGTTTAGCGAGACAGGTTTATTATGCCCATCCTCCTGAAAGGGAAAGAGTTTTGGACCTGCGCCATTTGTCCAAAGCCCCATGGATGGTGTAAATGGTGCTATTACATTTTGGGTGGCATTTATTAGGCGCTAACTGTGTATCACTTAGTTTTCTGCTAAATAAGTACAGCGTACCCCTGAAATGAGCACTCTTCTTATTCTCATTTTTTTTTTTTTGTAGGGAAGCCTAAGCCTCAGAAAGTTGAAGTAACTTGCCCCACATCTCATAGCTCTAAGTGGCAGAGGCAGGATTTGAACTCAGGCAGAGGCAGGATTTGAACCCTGACCCCTGTGCTGTCTGGTGCTGCCTGCGCTTTCTGTCTGGCCCTAAGATTCAGGCCTGATGTTCCATCACCCTGGCCGTGAAGGGCCAGGGAGATGATGCCGTTGAAAGTGTTGTGTGTATGGGAAGGGCAGCTAGTCCGTGCTGTTTGGCTAAGACCTGTTGACATGCCAAGCGAGGCTCTTCCAGCCCTGTGACAATTCCTAGAGTGTGCTGGGGAGAAGCAGAATGACAGCCACCTTCTGGGCGCACCCTGACTCTTAAGACCAAGAGTCTTAAGACCAAGCCTACAGCAAGCAGATGATTTCTGTCTTCACATCTAAACAAACCCGCATCGGGCACCCGGCGATGACAACAGCTGTGTGCCATCTGTTACTGTCCACAAACCCCACTTGCTCTCTTTCTGCCTTTGAGGGACTCACTGAATACCAAGGAATTGGAGACAGGAAATGTCCAAGGGAGGATTTATTCCCAGCAGCATAAGTTGATCAGGACACAGGTGGTGATCGCAGGCGAGAAAGTTAATGTTCCTGAGCCTCAGTTTCCCCACTGGGTGGTTGCCAGGATTAAATGAGATTAACCGTGAAAACTGAGTCCTTGGCCCCTGAATAGTATTCAGAGACAGTCAATTCTTATCAGGAAGGCTTTCATGGTGGTAAGTTAACATTTGAAATTAGCTTGGCACCTGGGATCTCTGCCCCCGAGTGGCGCTGCTTCTGTCCACAGATCTTCCAGCTTCGAAGTGGAGGGATGCACCCGCCTTGGGGAGTCTGTGCTGGAGTCAGGTCTCAGGGCAGATCCGTCAGGGTCGCTGGGAGTTCAGACTGGTCTGGACATAGGACCCTCCTGTACTTCGCTCCATGCTGGGCCCGGCTAAAAGCTGGAGGAAGAATCCCTGTTTTACTCCCCCATATTCCCGAGATTCAACCAGAGGTGGATTCTGCAAATGCTGCCAGGCTCTCCCTGCACTGTGGCTGAGCCTGGGAAGCTGGAGAACAAAGCCCTCACCCCGCCCTCACCTCTGCAGGGGCTCCTCCAGCTGGGGAGGGGAGGTGCCCTGGTGGGAGTGAATCTCCACCCTCGGCACCCTGATCCCTGACCCAGCAGGGCCCACACAGCGAAATGAAAAGTGGCCCGGATTTAGCCCCATGTAGGGCACATTTCTCAGGGGGTGGTACCCATGCCAACTGGTGAGAATTACCTGGAGACCTTTTTAAAAATGCATGCTTCTTGCTGGTCCCAGATGGACTGAAGTCAGAATTTGGAAGGGGGGCGAGTAAGGCCAAAAAATGTGCATTTCTAACGAAGTACTTCAAGCAATTCTAATGAGTAATAAAGTAGGTAAGGGGGGTACACTGGGGCAAAGTCAGAGAAATGGACGCATGGGTACAGGATCTGAAAAGGATGCCTGACTTCATCCTTCCAGTTATCCACCCTTTCTTTCCTACCCTGTGCTTTCTCCTTAGCTGCTCTCTGGGAAACAAAGGCTTCCACGGATGGCTTCCCCACCCCTACCACAGGCGACAAATTCAGCTCCTCTGGAGCTCCTTCTCCAGCTACCAGTTGCACTGCTGGACAGAGTCCTCACTGCCTGCCCGGGGTGGGGGGGGGGGCAAGAGGCAGGAGGTCAGGCAAGAGACTGGGGACACAGCTGCAGCAGCCCAAGGCTCTGTTTCCTCCCCCAGCCCTGGGCCTCTGGGGCAGAGGAAGCCCAGGCAGGAAGGCCAGAGCTGCCACCAGCCAGAGAGGCCCATGAGCCACACACGTCGCCCCGAACCATCCTACCCTCAGGGCCTCAACACCATGGAGCTTCATTTGGTACCATTCTTAGACTATGGGCCTGCCAAAGCCCATGTGGCCAGACAGCCAGCCCTCCCAACCTCCCTGGGTTATGCCAGAAGTCACTCCCACTCCCTCGTGTTAGCTGCTCCTGCCTGGGGATCCAGTCGCCAGGCACACACCCGCACCCTCGCCACCATTCCGAAAGTCCTTCTTGCTGTCTGCCCTCAGTCCTTGCTGCAGTGTGTCAGCCCTTATCCTCTTGTTCTCAGCCTTTGAGAAATGAAGAAGGGGGTGACTTCTGGAGCACTAGATGGTTTGGGACCTGGGTTGGGGACTATCCTAGATCAGAATTACTTCCCTAACCCTCTCTACCACACTTCTGGAAAAGTTCAACCTTAACCAGCCATGGAAGGTCAAACATTCAGTGCCTAAGAATGTTTCACTTCCCCTCCCACGTTCACTGGCCCTACCCCCACCCCTTCCCAGGACAGCAAGGAGAGGGAAGGGAGGGGCCAGGGAATGGCTCAGAGTGGGTGCCTTATACTCTGGTGATGTGTAGAGGGGTTTCCTTGCACCTGGTGTGAGCCAGCGCTGTTCAAGATCTGTACGGTTGTTATAGCCCAGAGGACTCAGACCCAGGCTGTCACCTGGATTGGGAGACAGAATGGAGGAAGCAGTGGCCTGGGAGTCTGAACACCTGGGGTGTACTCTTGTTACTGCCACTGACCTTGGACAAGTTTGACCTTGGACGAGTCTCCGGGGCTGTCTGAGGTTTAATCTCTATCTTTTCTAAAATAAGGAGCTGGGCTTTGTGGTTCCCAAGGTGTCACCCTAGAATTCTGTCATGGGGCGGTCCCAGCTGCAAGTGGCTCTTCCAGACCCTGTAGCCACCCCAGCCTGCCCTGAGAACACACCCGGAGCTCTTTACTGTGCGTGACTCCTGCCTGTTCTATCCAGACCCCAATCTAAACAATCTTGATTCCTGTTCCCAGCTTGGCGGGACCCTGAATGGCAGGAAGTGAAGACAGGAGCCTGTTTATATTTGAGGCAGCCAGTGCTGGGGAGGGGGGAGGCGGGGGGGGCACTGGGAAAGGGGTGGACAGGGAGGGGATGGGCAGGAGCAGAGGACCAACGGGTAGGGGGGGCTGCTGAAGAGAAGCTCCTTGCACCCCGGCCCCATGCCCTCTCTGCCCTCCAGTCTGAACTCAGAAGCAGGGGTAAAGAGCTGGGAGTCCCCCAAACTCTCTGTCACTTAAGCATGGCTCCCCCACCCTCTACCCCTAACAGGATGGTTTCCATGGGGAAGTGAACCAGGACTTCCCCTGTAGGCCCCGCCCCAAAGCCAGACACAGGGAGTAGAGAGGAGGCCTCCCTGCCCCCCCCAAAACTCCCAGTAATTTCCTCTGGGTGGGAGGGACCCACAGTCAGTGGCTGAAAACTCCGAGGGGATCACATTTCACAGACCTTACTGCACCCCCTCTCCTCTTCAGGGACCATGATCTTGGACCCCCCTAGGAGAGGCCTTCTGATGTTCCTGATGGCCTTGGGCCTGACCCAGAGTAAGTACTAGGAAAGCAGGTAGGGGACAGGGGCTGGAATGGGGAAAGAGCTGGCTGGGTTCAGCTCTTGCTGGGGCTGAATTTGAGGAGCTAGAGAGAGGGGCTACTTAGGAGCTTGGCTGGAGGGTGGGAGGCAGGCTTAGTTAGAGTAAGCCCCCTGCTACCCCAGCCCTCCTTTGTGTCCTTCTGATGCAAACCCATGGGCTGATGCTCTACTGGCCTCCACGTTGGGCACCTCTATCTGGAGGGTGCAGAGAGTGGGGACGTTGACAGGGAGGGCCTGGGAGAGCACTCAGAGTTGGGGCTGGGGGCCAGAGCTGGGCCTAGAACCCAAAGGGAAGGTTGTAGGATCAGGGAGGGTACAGTAGCCTGGTTCTCATCATGTCAGAGGGTAAGGTTCTAGAAGGAAGGATGATCTAAGGATGGGACTAAAGGAGCAAGGCCTCAGGGGTTGTGTTTGAGAGGCCAGAAGGGAGGGGCAACGTGACGGACACGGGTGTGAGGCCCAGCCTAGGAGTGGGGCCCAGAGTGGCTGAGCTTCCAGTGTGTCTCGCAGGTGACCCCATGAAGCCCTCTCGGGGCCCGCTGGTCACCTGCACCTGTGAGAGCCCACAGTGCAGGGGGCCTACCTGCCAGGGGCTCTGGTGCACGGTCGTGCTGGTGCGGGAGGAGGGCCGGCAGCCGAAGGAGCACCGGGGCTGCGGGAGCCTGCATGAGGAGCTGTGCCGGGGGCGCCCCACCGAGTTCGTCAACCATTACTGCTGCTACAGCAGCCTCTGCAACCACAACGTGTCCCTGGTCCTGGAGGGTACGTGCGGCCGCCCTGGCCAGCCCTCCCCATCCTCTCTGACCCTTCCTCCCCGCCCTGCTCCCACCTCACACTCTGGCAAGGAGGGGTGGTGGGAGGAGGGGAGGCAGGACCCTGGGATCTGACTGGCAGAGTGGCCAGGCGGGGGGATCTGGCTTGGTGGTAGCTGGGCCTCCGTGTCCCCCTCCACCAGCCACCCAAATTCCTCCGGAGCAGCCGAAGGTAGATGGCCAGCTGCCTCTGATCCTGGGCCCCGTGCTGGCCTTGTTGGCCCTGGGGGCCTTGGGGGCCCTGGGCCTGTGGCATGTCCGGCGGAGGCAGGAGAAGCAGCGGGCCCTGCACAGCGAGCTGGGCGAGTCCAGCCTCATCCTGAAGGCATCCGAGCAGGGGGACAGCATGCTGGGGGTATGGGCTTGGGAGAACCTGGCATGCGGGTTGGGGAGGGGGGGAGACAGGAGCCATAGAACCAAAGGGGGTGCTGAGGGACAAGTAACCAAGAAAGGTGCAATCGCACTCAAAGATCTGGGGGGTGGGGGTTGCTGGGCGAGTGAGGAGCATGTGAGGACAGTAGCGGGTCCCAGCTGAAGGAGGAAGAAATGGCCTGGGCCAGGTGGTGCAGCCCATCAGTGGCCTGTCCGTATCCCTCAGGATCTCCTGGACAGTGATTGCACCACGGGCAGTGGCTCAGGACTCCCCTTCCTGGTGCAAAGGACAGTGGCACGGCAGGTGGCCCTCGTGGAGTGTGTAGGTGAGCTGTGGAGGGGAGGTGGGACTGAGGGCTCCTGTGAGCTTGCAGGAGTGAGCAAGCTCTTGGCCTCCAAGTCACAGGCAGGGCCAGGTCCCGAGTGGGAATTCTGCTGGGTAGGGAGTGGCCCAGAGATGGGTCAGGGCAAGACTTTCTGCAGGTGCTGGGGTAGCCAGGCAAATGGGGCTGGGGCTGGACTAAGCGAAACAAACATCAGGATTTTGCAGTTGGGGTCAGTGCAGCATCAAGATGGGGGTTTCTTCTGGGGTTCCCCATGCCCAAGGGCTGTGCGTGCCCATATGTGACCTCTACCATCCCTCCCACCTTTGGATTAGGCAAGGGTCGCTACGGCGAGGTGTGGCGTGGCCTGTGGCATGGTGAAAGCGTGGCCGTCAAGATCTTCTCTTCAAGGGATGAACAGTCCTGGTTCCGGGAGACTGAGATCTATAATACAGTGCTGCTCAGACACGACAACATCCTTGGTAAGTTGGGAATACTAAGCCAGACCCGGGGCTTTCAGCCCTCTGCCCTCATGTCACCTAGTCAGGCCTGGTGACACTGACCTAGTCCTGAAGGACACCTGTCGGCCCCTCAGCCCCGACCTCTGACTCCAGCTCCCTCTCCGACCTAAGCCAGACCAGCCTCCACCCCCATCCCCAGCTTTGCCCTGACCATCTCTCCTCTGTCCCCAGCCCTGACCCTGACCCCAATTAGCCCAGCCTCCTTTCTCCCTTGCCCCTCTGCTGAGCCATCTATGGACCCTCTGCCCATAGGCTTTATCGCCTCAGACATGACCTCCCGCAACTCAAGCACGCAGCTGTGGCTCATCACGCACTACCACGAGCACGGCTCCCTCTACGACTTTCTTCAGAGGCAGACACTGGAGCCGCAGCTGGCCCTGAGGCTAGCTGTGTCGGCTGCCTGCGGTCTGGCTCACCTGCACGTGGAGATCTTTGGCACGCAGGGCAAGCCAGCCATCGCCCACCGAGACCTCAAAAGCCGCAACGTCCTGGTCAAGAGCAACCTGCAGTGCTGCATCGCTGACCTGGGTGAGCTGCTGGGCAGGGGCGGACGCCGGCCGGGCGAGGGCTCGAGCACCCTCCCTCCCCGCTTTGTCCTTTGTGTGTGTGTGTGTGTGTGTGTGTTGACAATGATGCTTCTGATCAGTGCTTTAAAACCTCCTGGCGCTTGGGTTGTCTATTTCACCTCTGCAAGAGCCCCACGAGTTGCCTGGCGGCTTTGAAAGCCCAGACTCCTCCTGGCGTACCACCTGGGCTCCAGGACTTGGGAGAAAGGGGCAGGGTACCAGGAACCTGGGTTGTCCCCCTAGCTTCACTTGACTGCATTGCTCCCCTCACCGGGCCTCGGGGTTCTGCTCTGTGAAATGGGCACAATAACGCCTGCTTTGCCGACTCACATCTCTCTGGGCACTTGGGCACCTAGCAGGAGGGCTACACAAGCCAAGTATACCAGGGACAGGTGGGCCCGGGGGTGCAGTCTCCCAGCCGGCCTCTGGGCAGGTGTCCGTCTGCCTGCTGCTCCATGTCCCACCGTCTCTCTCCATGCCCTCCTCGCCTCCTGCACCCCAGCTTCCGGGGCCACCCCGGAGTCTGGGGCTCGGCTGAGTAGCAGGAGTGACAGGCCCGGTCCCCACAGGCCTAGCTGTGATGCACTCCCAGGGTAGTGATTACCTGGACATCGGGAACAACCCACGAGTGGGCACCAAGCGGTACATGGCCCCCGAGGTGCTGGAAGAACAGATCCGCACCGACTGCTTCGAGTCCTACAAGTGGACAGACATCTGGGCCTTTGGCCTGGTGCTATGGGAGATTGCCCGTCGGACCATTGTCAACGGTGAGGGCCTGCCCTGCGCAGGGTTGGGGAAGGGGCCTGGGGCAGATGGATAGACAGGCGGACAGGCAGGAGACAGGGGCCTCCTGCCACAGATGGTATCCATGGCCTGAGGGTTCAACTGAGTGACCTTTTAAGGTGTGACTCTGGGAGTCTGTGAGTCTGGCTGTGAAATCCTGGATAATAACAGAAATATCAGTAGCGGCTAACTTTTATTGAGCTTAAACATGTTATATCCATGTATTATCCTAGTACATCGTCCCGTGTTGGCAGGGGGTGGTGCCACTTCGTGGTTAAGAGCGTGGGTTGGGAATCACACCACCTGGGCTCCGTTCCTGACCTTACCATTGACCATGGGCAGGTTACTTAACCTCTCTGTGTCTCAGTTTCATTTGAAAAGAGGAATGAAGACAGCTCAAGTTGTTGAGATAATCCCAGGATAGTATATGAAACTATTCTGGGGCTCGGTAAATATTCATGGCAATTTATTGTAGTAACGAATGCCTGACACAGTATCGTCCCCATTTCCCAGGTGAAGGTACTGAGGTACAGAATTACTGAGGGCTGGAGGCAGCGCCGGGGTCTGAAATCCAGGCTGTCGGACTCTGGGTCCGTGGTTTCTTTGCTGCAAAAATACAGGATAGAATAGCGTCTACACTGCCTGCTTATCGCTGCCTCGTTATGACTGTGGGTGCCTGTGAATGGGCTGGGAGCAGGTGGAGGGACCCTGTTCCTGCTGGCTGGGACAGGGGTAGCCCTGGGGCCGGTGCCTTCCCAGCCCTGGGGTGGATGGATATTGGGTGGTGGTCTGGACCAGGCTGGGGAGGCTTGTCAGTCTCCATGGAGGCTGTCTATGGGGAGGGATTGTTGGCTGTCCTGACAGGTTGGGGACAACCTCAGGATATGACTGGAGCTCTGTTCCTTGGGGACAGGGACCTTTTCCATTTCCTGAGCATCTGCTAGTAGCCACCCCCAGGCCAGGCTTCATTTCCCCTTAGCATTGACAGGTGAAGGGCAGAGTGTAACCCACCAGTCCCTCTGGGAGACTCTTGAGGAGCTCAGATTCCTGTCCCCTCAGGTGTGAACTCCTAGGCTAACATTGGCTGGGGCAGGGGGCACCTGGAAGGAGCCGAGGCCCCTTGGATGAGGCTGCCGGCGGAAAGAAAGGGCTGGCCTGGCCAGGGCTGATGGGGGAGGCTGGCTGCAGACTCCTGGGGCGGAGGGAAGCTCTGTCAGCCCCACACAGATTCGTGGCGCATTATAAACACTGTAATCTGGTGTCAGCCCCGGCACTGATTAAAGGCCCATTAGACACACTCAGGCCTCTGTGCAGCGCTGATTAGGGCTCGAGCGGCACAGGGGCCGGCCTGGAAGCCCGCCATGGAGAGAACAGCTGGTGTAGGGCTCTTCTGAGGTTGTGACTGTGTGGCCATGGCCCCCCACCTCAGGCTGGGAAGCAGGGGCGGGAGGAGGGGTCTGGGGGGCCTTCTCTGGTTCTGGCCTCTTCTGCCTGAGCTGTCCGCAGCTCTGCAGGCAGCGTTTTCCAGAAGGTTCCTGCTAAGGGATGTTGGGGAGGAGCAGCGCTGGTGAGGGGGGCAGCGAGGCCTGTGCTGTCGTTGACAGGGGCTGGCTGTTATGTGGACTTGGGTAAAAACCCCTTTCTTCTTGTGCCACATCGTCCCCCAGCAGTAGGCCAGCTCTCCCCCGTGAGCAGAGCTCGGAGGTCAAGAGTGTGGGCTTTGGTTAGCGCGTCAGGGCTCACTTAAATCCGTCACTTACTTACCTGTGTGATTTTCGCCAAGTTTCTTCACCCCTCTGGCCTTGGTTCCATTGTTTATAAAATGGAGCTAATAGTATGACTTATCTCACAGGGTTGTTGTGAGGATTTAATGCTGTGAAGTTAGGACAGCACCCTGCACGGCGTACGTGGCCAGTAAATGTGTTTTGTTTTTGTTTTTAAAGATTTTATTTATTTATTTGACAGAGACACAGCGAGAGAAGGAACACAAGCAGGGGGAGTGGGAGAGGGAGATGCAGGCTTCCTGCTGAGCAGGGAGCCCGATGTGGGCCTTGATCCCAGGCTCCTGGGATCATGACCTGAGCCGAAGGCAGACGCTTGATGACTGAGCCACACAGGCGCCCCCAGTAAACGTTTTTATCAGGCATCTGGGAGAGTAGGGACCTGGGAGCAGTGCCTGGGCCCTGGGTGGGAGGCAGCCACGGAGAGACTATAATGAGGTCCAGCCTAGGAATCTGATGAGATGAGTTTAAGTCTGGACTCTGCCCTTACTAGTGGTGTAACCTTGGGCTTACCTTCCCTGAGCATCAGTCTCTTCATCTGTAAGCTAGAGGTCACAATAATACCCAGGGGGTTGTGACAAAGATGAAGAAGGGGGAGCACGAAAGTATTTATAGCACAGTGGCTGGCATCTTCTGGGGAGTGCAAGTTCAATAGTCATAGTTCTTTTTTTTTTTTTAAGATTTTATTTATTTATTTGACACAGAGAGAGAGAGGGATCACAAGTAGGCAGAGAGGCAGGAGGGGGAAGGGGCAGGGAAGCAGGCTCTCCGCTGAGCAGAGAGCCCGATGCGGGGCTTAATCCCAGGACCCTGAGATCATGACCTGAGCCAAAGGCAGAGGCTTTAACCCACTGAGCCACCCAGGCATGCCATCAATAGTCATAATTCTTACTATTTGTAAACATATTGATTATATTTTAGAGGCCCTTTCAGGGTTAGCTTGGGTCAGATAGCTGGTTTTCTGGAACTTGGGACAGAAGGTGGGCAGGGCTCTCCTTGGGGTGGCATGGAGCCTTCCTGGGGTGCCAAGTGACAGTCCCATCCCCCCTCCATCCTCAGGCATTGTGGAGGACTACAGGCCACCCTTCTATGATGTGGTGCCCAATGACCCCAGCTTTGAGGACATGAAGAAGGTGGTGTGTGTTGATCAGCAGACCCCCACCATCCCCAACCGGCTGGCTGCTGACCCGGTGAGGCCTCGGTGGGGACCGGGGTGGCACGAGGTGGTGGCTCACTGGGAGTTCTGGCCCCAGGAGCATGTGCCTGAGGTCTTTGCCTCCCCTGGAGAGGTTCCAGAGGATAGAGTCCAGAGTCCCTCTCTGGGGACCCCCTCCCCCATCCCTGGCCTGTGGACCCCTGAGATTTGGGTTATGCTGGGATGTTCAGAACCTTCCCTCTGGCCCGAAAAGTCGGAGTCTCTCAGCTGCATTTCTTGCTATGAACTTTCATTGTTGCTGTTTGTTTTTGTTTTTTTCTCAAAACCCTCTACATGCATACGTAAGACACATACACATGTGTACATAAACACATACAGGCACGCACATGCTTCTACACAAACATATCCTCACGGATACATATGTGGCGTGCACAGACATGCCAGACTCTCAGCCCTGGGCAGACAAAGAGCATGTCTCCCACGCCTCCTCACTTCCCTGTTATCTGTCGCTGGGCTGGCTGACAATAAGTGCTCAATCAATGTTTCTGGATAGAGCGAATATACATGGATACACACATAGGTGCACAGACACATGTATGTTTCTGCAAAACATGCATATCCATAAAAAACCACATATATGCACTGCTCTGCATACACACACACTCTCTCCCTATCAGGGGGCAGCTTGAGTTCCGAGGTTGGCTCACCCTGGGGCCACTGAGCGCCCTGGGCTGGGTTCCTCCGCGGGCACTCCCCCAGTGGCCGCTGGGCCCAGCCGGGGCTGGTGGAAGTGCTGGGAGAAGCTGCCCTCCGCACGGGGGTCTGGCCATGGAGGGGCCCCTAAGCTTGCACATCTCCCCTTCCCTGGATCTTGGCGGAGGTGGGGGGTGGGTATAAGGCATTCCACAGACCCTCCTCGCAGAAGGGGGCCTGAGTGCACCCGAAGAGCTGGGTTGCAGCTGTCTTTCCGTCCTGCCTGTTGCCTTCCACCTGCTTCTCACTCCACCATCTTCCTCTTCCTCTTCCATCTCTCTCTCCTCTCCTCCTTGCTTCCATTCTCCCCTCCCTTACCACACTGGTTTCCCTCTTTCCCTCCTCAACGCTCTCCTCCTTTCTATCCTGCTTCTGTCTCCCCATTTCTGGGTGTCCTCCTTGTCACTCCATTTCCAGGTGCCCCTGACCCAGGTCTCTGCTTCCTCTCCTCTGTGTCTCCCCCCTCCCCCAAACAGGTCCTCTCAGGCCTGGCTCAGATGATGCGGGAGTGCTGGTACCCCAACCCCTCTGCCCGCCTCACTGCACTGCGAATCAAGAAGACACTGCAGAAACTGAGCAACGGTCTCGAGAAGCCCAAAGTGATTCACTAGCCACAGACCTGAAGCCCGACCGACTCCCCTCTGCCTGCAATGTATGTGGGGCGGGGAAGCAGACGGTGGCCCAGGGGTGGCTGTGCCTGCCGGCTCATCCAGCCAAAAATACAGCTGGACTGAAACCCGATCCCCCGCCGTCTGGCCTGCTCAAAGCAGCAGGCTCCCTGACGCCTGGCTCCCTCCTCACCCTCATGCCCCGGTGCAGTCCCTACCAACCCCAGGACAGGATGCGAAAGAGGCCCCAGAGCCAGGGTGGCCAGGCCAGGGAATCCCAGTCGCCGGCCCGGAGCCCAGGCCTGCACTTTTCCCCCTGCCCTCGGTCAACCCCGCTGCCCCACCAGAGCTGCCAGGGTGACGCAGGGTTCTCTCTAGCCTTCAGTACACATCCTGCCTCTGGCATCAGCCCCACACCCACAGTCCATCATTTCCTCTCTGGGCTTGTCCGGGGCCTCTGTCTCCTGGACAGGACCCCACCAGCCCAGCGCCAGCCGCCTGGGAGAGCTGGGGCCTGATCCTGGGCCCCTTCCCCATGCCCTCCCTAGCTCACTTCTTAGGGCCTTAAACCCAAGGAATCCTGCTGCAGGCGTGGCTGGGTTGGAGGACTGTGGAGAGGTAGTTGGTCAGATTGGGGAGGCCCAGGACCTTCAGAACAACGGGGAGACGCTGAAGCCAAGCACAGCTGGGGAAAGGCTCAGCTGGGAGTCAGGAGACCCATGTTCTGGTCCTGGGCAATTGCTCTACGGGACAAGAATGAAGTCTTCACGGTCTGGAACCTTTGTTTCCTCATCTACCTATTGCAAGATTCGGTCCTGATGTCCTTTGAGATTTTGTCAGCTCTAATTTTCTTTGACATTTCAGCCTGTGTCAGGGGTCAGTCAGTTCATCTGTTCCTTCTGCTCCTTTTGCCCAGCCCTGGTAGTTTGCCTCAAGGTGGGGACTTGAAAATGACTTAATCTGAGGCCAGGAGCGCCTGAAAGGTCTCCTAGACAAATTCTACAAGCTCCAGTTCCCACTTTAACTCAAACCAGTGGCCATCCTTGGATTCAGACAACCCTGGGCCTTTTGGCAGGCCACTCAACCCACTCTGGCTTAGCCTCTCTGTCCAGGGCTGAGAAGGACTGAGGGCTGGCTTCCTGCAGGGCCTCCAAGGCTCAGAAGACATTTGGCTCTGGCCAGCAAGCCTCCAGCACCCAGATTCCTGCTCGCCACTGGCCCCTGGCCCGGGCCCACAGCCTTGGCCAGGCCCCAGACAGTGTGTGTCTAGGAAGAACCTGGTGGCTGTGGAGAAACACATGGAAAGTTCAGCATTTGGCCGTGTCAAGGGTGTAGGTCCGTGCCATGAAGAGGTTACCCCAAACCCTGGGTGGGTGGATGGGCTGGAGGTCAGTGGATTGAAAGTAGAGCCTGAGGGTTGGGGGATGGGGACGCTCAGCCTAGGGACAAGGACAGTTTCAAGCTTGGAAGACCTAGCATCTCTGCCCTCAGGCCACAGTGGAGAAGGACCCTGTTTTCCCCAGGAGGTGACAAAAGTACAGCCTCCTCCCTCCTGCTGTGAATGACCCAGCACAACCTCCCAAGGCAGCCTGCGTGCTGCTTCCACCAGCCACAGTGGCACTTTCCCAGGCCTGTCTCCCCAAGTTGTGCAAGGCCCACAGCACAATCAGGAAGTGAAACTGGGTGAAAACAGAAAGTGAGAGGGACCTGCTGGGTCCTCAGATGAGCTCGGGGCACTTTCACGTCTTCTGGTCACTGGAACCCACCCCATGCCAGATCTTTATCTCTGTTGGATTGGGGGAAGGGGGACAAAGCATCTTCTCCTGGGACTCCACAGCCAGAAATGGAAGGCCACAGCTCCCCATGAGGCTGGAAAATCCCGGAGGGGGAGAAGGTCTGAGGCAGGAGGTGGAGTGACGGGGGCCTCTCTGTTGGGAAAGAGTAGTTAGTGGCTAGGGAGGGAGGGAGGCCCTGGGAAGAGCAGTGCACCTGGTGCTCCTGTCTGAGGGTAGGAAGGTGTGACAGGGCCTAAATTACAGTCTGTCACCTGGGGACGTTGTGGGAGCACTTAGGTTGTGCTTAGCACATAGTAGGTCGTCAATAAACCGTGATCGAATCTCCAGCTCCTGCTGAGTTTTCCCAGGCTGGTTGGTGCCTCTGCAGTGGCTTGACGCAGGGAAAACCCGAGGTGGCAGGGAGGGAGTGGGTCCCAGAGCATCATGACCGGTCTTGCCCTTCCGGGTCAAGTCACAGCTGGCACAGACCCCCGCACGCGACCCTCACAGCGGCCCAAATCTCAGTTCAGTCCCTCTGCTGAGAGCTGCGCCTGCCACACCGCCCTCTGCTGGCGGACGGCTGCCCAGCAGCCGCCTCCCGCCCCGCCCCTGCGCCGGGACCCGCGGGCCCTTCCCGGAACCAGACCGACTCCCGCGCGCTGGGCGCAGCGTGCGTGCGCTGTGTCAGACCTCGGTTTGCAGGGACTGTCCCCTGAAATACACACCTAGGAACGAGCTTTCTGCGTCTTTACGCAGGTGCAGCGTGGACCCGCCCACCTCAATTTCTCTGTTCATTCCCTTCCCAAATGCGGCCCCCACCTTGCCTGGAGTCGGCTCGCTCATCCCTAAAATGGGAAGGAGCTCACATCCTCCTCAGGGACCCATCTTGGCATCCTGCGCTTAGAAAGCACCTTCCCTACCCCTAACCCCGGGAAACTGGGGGCCAGGAAGTGTCATAGGGGAGAGAGGTACTGAAAGAAGCATAGAGGGTCTCCACCATCTGACTTTCCAGCCTTGAAAATTTGCGCCTTTGTATTTGAGGCCCTCTTAGGGAACCGCAGAAAAGGTACCCTAATTCTTTCTACCGCCGAGGACGGACACCACTCCCTACAGACCGCAAGTCGGCCTCATGCCTGGTGTCCACGAGAGTCTCCTGGGGCTTATATCCATGGACGTGCCCACCACGCCCCCACGCCTCCCCACCCTCCTTCCCAGAGGAACCTTTAGACCAGCTTTGGGGAAATTAGATCGTTCCTGGTGTCCCACAAAGGCAGCCTTTCTCCTCCCTGGTCCTTACATCCCCACCCTGATGTCCACACTATGGTTGGACTTGGCTGGGTTCAGAGAAAGGAGAATTGACACATTGCCCTCCAGGGTTAGAAAATCCCTGGGAGATCACCATGTCCTAGCCTCACTCTCCCACTTAGAGCCTGGGGAACGTGCCTGTCCATGGAAGAAGGAGACCATTGACTTCTTTGCAGTTTTGCCCTGCTTTCCTGGGGGACTCCAACCTCTAATTTTCTTACCTGTACACAGAGGGAGAGGATCATCTGTGTAATGAGAACCCTCCCTAAGGGGTGATGAGTGTCTGTAATATGCCCAAGTGGGGGTGAAGGTAGTCTCCAGAGCATGAGCTTCGAAGCTGAGGACCACGGTTCCCCTGCCAAGGCCTCAAGGCACCCAGCCTCCTAAGGACGGTTCTCTCTTCTTCTGCCCAAAACACCAAACTCCCTCAGTCCCACCCCACTTCAGCCTTCAAAGAGGGTGTTCTGCTTCCTCCCAAACCTCCCTTGCATCAAGACTAACAGACCAAGATGTGGCCATCCTCATGTGTAAGAGACCCAGGCCTGGAGGTGGAGCAGAAGGGTGCACGTCCTGAGTCCAGCCTCCCCGGGCGGGGACCGATGCTATCTGTGCCGCCATCACTCTAGGTGGGCGACTCTTGGAAGGAGCCGTTTCCACCAGGGCCACATTCAGTTTGCTAGAAATAGAGACAGGGCTTCTTGACTTTGCATATAATTTGCATAATGTCATAGACACAGTCTATTTTCAGGCAGATTTCAGGTTAAAGTGTTGTCACTTGCTGCCCTGCAGGGTGTCACGTCTGGATGAGTCTCTCTTCTGTTCTTTCTCACCCACCCACTCTTACTGACCTAGATCCCAACTGCAGGAGCAAGTGGCGAGGTGAGGGGGAAGAGTGGGGTTGTCCGGGGAGAGACGAGGACAGGGCAAGAGGCACGCTGGAATTTCCATGATGGGCAGAGGGCGAAGGAATGGGAAACGAGGTAGCCTGCACTCTGTTCTTCAGAACCTTTCCCGTCTCTCCCAGCCAGGAGAACGGCCAGTTCCCATACTCTTGATTCAGGCTTCTGCCAGTTTGAAGAAAGACATCTCGATCAACCTGTTCCTCTGAGCCACCCATAAACCCTTGCTTGGCCCAGCTATCCCTCTTGGGTGTTTATTTTCAGCACTAAGATTTGATCTTCGCCTCCTGTGAAATCTGACCCACAGTCCGGCCCTCTCCTGGGAGTCCCATCTGGGAGACTAGGATCCTGGTCTGATAATCTGTGTTTTTAAAGCACCTGGCACATAGTAGGAGGTCAATCAGCGCTAGAGCTCCTCTCCTTCCCTCCGTCTAGAAGTCGGTGCCAAGCTCCTAATTGTCCCAGCCCCGGATGCCCTGCACAGCCACCATCCTCTGAGGGCTCGAGCTAGAAAGGCCAATTGGGGTGACTGTCACTAAGTTGTCGGTGACCTTGGCAGGTCATTTGGCCTCTCCTCAGCTAGAAAGGAGGGGGTTTGGTGGGCTTTAGGGCCAAGAGCAATTCTTATTTCATAGCTTGAGCTGTTCGGTGACTTGTCCTTGGTCACAGAGAGCTGGGGTGGAGCCCCAGCCTCCCGCAAAACGTTCGGCCTCAGGGCCTGTCTGGTGCGCTGTCTCAGTACGTAGACCCAAGGATTTACCAGATACCAAGGCAAAGAGACTTACCGGGTCCTGGGAATCATAAGGCCACTCGGTCAGGCTGGACAGCAACAGTGCGCTACCCAGAATTCCCAGTCCCTGGCGTCCAGTCCCCCTGGACCTGCCTCGTCCCCTTAGGCAGGCGTTTCCTGTTGATAAGAAGCTCAGTCACAAACACTGATAAAGAGATGAAGAAAGGAAATTGACGGGCTTGGGTATAATGGGCATTTTGTCTGCCTTTTCTACCTTCTTCCTTCTCCCAGTACCCCTCCCCCACTGCTTCCCAGAACTGAGGCAAAAACATGCCCCCCACCTCCACTGTTGGCCTTATTTTGTGGTTTCCAGGAATTTGGCCTCACAGAGCCCTTAGAAGCAGAGCCTAGCTTGACCTGGTTGGGGGTGGGCTGGGGCACGGGGTCAGAGCTCAGTGGCAGGAAACACTGGGTGCTGTGAGGCCCCCAAGTGCAGGGAGAAGGGCAGTGGCAGCAGGAAGGAAGGACGGTCAGGCACAGGTTGCATCCGTGACCTTCCCTCTCCCTCCTTCCTGCAGAGGCCTGGCTCCAAGTAGTGGCTAGGTGGCTGCATAGTCTATAATTAGTGGATTTTCCATAATTTTAGTCTCAGGCTCATTACTGGAAAATCTCATTAATTTTGACTCCACTAATTTGGAACCTGTGATTCTTCAGGACAAGGAGCCGGACTGATCTTTAGAAAAACAAACACAGCAAACAAGTTTGCAAAGCATCCTGGGCTGCCCTTCTTGGTTCTGGATTTGTAAACTCAGCTGGACGAAGGCAGTTTTTCACAAGCATCCCCCACCATGTAGTTAGGATAACCTGCCACCAGGTGGGTGATGAGGTCTTACCGGCCAAGTAGGCTTTAAGTAGCCATTGCTCAGGGATAGTGGTGTTCTAAAGATCTCTACTTAATATCTTCTCCCCTCTCCCGCCCCGCCCCCCCACCCCCGTCTTCCCCAGAGATGTAATTCCTTAATGAAACATGCGAACGTGAAGGAGTAGAATAGATGGGTCTCTGAATGGCCGGGGTTTAAAAGAAAAACAACAGCCATTTAGCCACTCAGTGACTTTCTCTTGAATTCCTGTTTCCAGTCCTGCTACCCTTCTGACCAGGGTCTCCTGGCTTCCGTCCCTCGTATCTTTCATTGCACTTTGGATGCTTGAGGAAGGAGCAGAGTAGTAGTCAAGATTCCAGCTGGGTTTTCTGTTTAGTAATTAGTAATTCAACAGATTTATTCTTCTTTTTTTTTTTTAAGATTTTATTTATTTATTTGACAGAGAGAGATCACAAGCAGGCAGAGAGGCAGGCAGAGAGAGAGAGAGGAAGGGAAGCAGGCTCCTTGCTGAGCAGAGAGCCTGATGGGGGTCTCAATCCCAGGACCCTGGGATCATGACCTGAGCTGAAGGCAGAGGCTTTAACCCTGAGCCACCCAGGCGCCCTCAACAGATTTATTCTTAATTTAACTTTATTTTCTAACTTTTAAGATATATTTATTTGAGAGACAGAGAGGGAGAGAGAGAAAGAGAGAGAGCAAAGAGGGAGAGTGAGAGGGAGAAGCAGGATCTCTGCTGAGCAGAGAGCCCGATGCGGGACTCAATCCTAGGATCCTGGGATCATGACCTGAGCTGAAGGCAGAGGCTTTAGCCCACTGAGCCACCCAGGCACCCCAAAAGGAGCATTTAAAAAAATATATTTTATTTATTTGACGGAGAGAGAGCACAAGCAGGGGGAGTGGCAAAGGGAGAGGGAGAAGCTGGTTCTCCACTGAGCAGGGAGCCCAACACAGAATTTGATTGCAGGACCCCAGGATCATGACCTGAAAGGAAGGCAGACACTTAACTGACTGAGCCACCCACGTGCCCCAAAAGTTGCATATTATATACACTATTCTACACCTTACTTTTTTTTTCCCTTTTTTAAAAAAAAGATTTTATTTATTTATTTGACAGAGAGAGAGAGAGAGAGCAGAAGCAGGGGGAGATGCAGACAGAAGGAGAAGCAGGATCCCCACTGAGCAGAGAACCTGAATGGGGGCTCCATCCCAGGACCCTGAGATTATGACCTGAGTTGAAGACAGATGCTTAACCGGCTGAGCCACTCAGGCGCCCCAACACCTTACTTTTTTCACTTAATATACCTTGGGGGTGCCTGGGTAGCTCAGTCAGTTAAGTGTTTGGCTCTTGGTTTCAGCTGGGGTCATGATCATGATCTATGGGTTGTAGGGTCAATCCCCTCATGGGGCTCCATGCTCAGCTCAGAGTCTGCTTATCCCTCTCCCTCCCCCTCTGCTCCTCTTCTGATGGCTCTCTCTCTCTCTCAAATAAATAAATAGAATCTTTAAATATTAGGGAAGAAAGGCT